AGAGAGAGAGAGAGTTTTTTACATGCAGTTTTTTATGGTTTATGCAATACATATGTGCATGGAACATTATACATTTTAGAAGTGAATTAGTGGTGTGAGGTTCAATGACTAGTGTATGGCTAGTGTACATGCATGCTAGTCATTTTTACTCAGCTTTGAGTTCTATATAACACTCGCTTTAAAATTTTTAGATGCATTTTAAGATACCTTTTAGAAGAACACGAGCTGTGGGTGGACCTGGCCATGGACCCTGTCCTAGGACTGGTCTCCATGCCAGATTTAGGGACCAGTGCGCTTTTTGTGTTGGGCCAGACTGGGCCAGCCGGCCCATTGCCGGGCCTCTGTTTACCACTTTTCCCATCACATTTATTTAATATCATGGGCAGGATTAATTTCCTTTATGATGGCAGTTATTCTTGTTATAACGGTTTTGAAAAACGTGAGTCATATGATATCATTAAAAGCTTTTTACGTTATAATCGACTGCTGTTCTTGAGAATGATCAGTAGTTATTGTCTTCAAGTCTTCAAGTCATCCTGTAAGTAGTGCTTAGATATTAGAAGAGCTAGTGGAAAGATTTATTCTATTGAACGATCTAAAGAGAGTTTTCCTTGTGTGCTCCAATTGAACCTATGCTGATTGTTAAATCATAAGGGGAAACGCAGCTTCCCATTCGAGTCTCAGCTGGATAACAAATCAACGAACCTAGTTAAAAGCTGGAAATGTGCTCTTTGTATTCTCTCTCTTTCTCTCTCTCTCTCTCTCTCTAGAGAGTGACCATGCCCTGACTACCACTATTTGCCTCTCCCTCTCTTTCTCATTTGATGTGTGTGGATAGGTGTTTCCTGGTGCATGGACGGCAATTTTAGTCTCTCTCGACAATGATGGCATGTGGAACTTGCGGACACAGAATTTGGATTCGTGGTACCTTGGACAGGAGACATACATGAGTATTGTCAATCCAGAGATAAATGGCAAGACCGAGATGCCCTTGCCTGATAATGCCCTATATTGTGGGGTCCTCTCAAGCATGCAAAGGTATGCTATGTTTCGGCTGCTATTACTACCATTCTAACCAGTGACATGCAGCTTGAACTCGGTCAAATTGGTTCCTTCAGAAACCTGGGCCCCAATATAAACAGTCCACTTGGTAAAACTCAAGCAAGTTTTTCAATTTATTTGATCAGTATAAAAAGGTACCGTGAGTCAGAGCTGGGGTTTCGCCCTTTGTTTTGACTCCAAGGCCACCCCCGTGTGGGCCAATTCAGTGGAACGCATTGTTAGGTGGGAATTTCGGCTGGGTCCGCATATGTGTTTGAAATGATTAAGAATAGTATGAAAGAAGGTGTAGTGTCCACCGTGGGATTTAGTTCCATGTTTTCACCATGTTTTTAAGACCTCATTACCGCTGCAGAAAGGACATATTATGTATTAGGGTAATGCAATCTTACGTTAGGGGCATATCTTTCTAATTCACATGACTTGGCAACTGGGCAACTCAATTTGACTTGGAGAGTTTATTTGAAAAAGCTTTTCCATTCAGTGATGTAGTTGCCAACTCAAGTTGACTTGGAGAGTTTCTCTAAGTTGAAAAAGCTGTTCTATTCAGTGATTGCAACCAATACATGTGGAGAACCTGGTCCTGTCTTGTTTGCCATCCAGTTTCTTCCTTTTTACTGAGTGCTAGAATTACTGTTACTACTTGTAGCGCCATTGCTACTTCTGCTGCTACTATTAATGCCAATATCTCTATTTCTACTATTTGTCTATATTTAATATGTCATGAATCGGCTTTTATTGTGTGATTGAACAATGCTGCCTCTTTCATTGTCCTACATTTATATGGAGGGCCCAACAGTTTAGTCCATATTCAGTCTAGATTATGGGGAGCCATATTGTGGTGTTTTTGTAGGCCACAGTCACACAAGTGGAGCTTCTCTCATTCAGCACCAATTCTGAGACATCGAGTTTTTATGACTGCGCTTCTCACTACAGTAGCCATAATGTTTGTTTGAGATCCTTAATTTTCATGTGCTAGCAATGTTAGTTTCGTTGTACCAATAGACTTTTTGTTCCTTATGTTTTACATTTACCAATGTACACATTTTTGAGAAATGAGAGACTTGGAGAGATTGATAATTCCTAGTTTTGTATACATTAGCATCTAAGAAACACGAAGTTGTGATGTGATTCCAAAAGGTGGCAGACATTTAAACTGTTTATGTCAAAACTTTTCTACATTTTTGCATAATCAAGATCACATTTCAACGTTCTCCCATATTCTGAGACTCGAAAGCATCTGAAGTTTAATGTATTATTTATTTTTCTTAAGGCTTCTTGTTATGGCATAAAGCAACATGACAAAAACTCCCACTACTAGGAAAGGCAACATTTTGCACAGTTTCCCAAGCGTTCATTTTCTTCGTTTATATCTTGAAAAAATGATTGCTCTATGAAGTTTTCGAAGCGATCCTCTTCTTCATGTATTCTAAGGACAAATCGAAAACTGTACCCATTAGCTTATAGCTAGCAACGTTACCAGGTAGTGTTAATTTCCAGGCCCGTGGCCGATGAAGACAACATTGATTCTTTGAGCAACCATAAACCAAGGGAGGTTGGTCTAACATACGATATTATGAGAACAAAAACAAGGGAGGTTGATATGACATACAATATTATGAGAACAATTGTGAAAAGCTTGAAACCCCTAAATCCTACGTAGGTAGATGTAGAAATAGGGTTTAGGAACAAGCCTTTTTTTTTTTTTGCTTTGTTTCTTTCCCTGCAACGACGAGCAACCCAATGATAGTAAGGGCCAAGTAAATGTGTTTCTTGAAATCCTAGAAGGATAGAAACAAGCGCTTGGGGAATCAGCAACGCATTGCCAATCCTCCATATTAGATCCCAATGGAACATTGTTTTTGGAGCAGTTCTTTAACAAAGTAGACCACTTAAAGACCAAACATGCATATGGTAGTAGTGGAATCGGAAAAATGATTGCCAGGGCACTCTAATTGTGTTAGAATCTGTGATCCGAGACTCATGACCCACAGTCATTTGCAGGATAAGAAACCGGTGCATCTAGGATGTGAATTATAGGATCTCCCATAAGAGCAATTCACATGCACGTATCACTATAGTACAAGGGGGATTCTGATGTAAAAGGAGTCTGGAAAATTAAATCCGGTATTCTTTCGATCTTAAACAAACAAAAAATTAATAATAAATCAAGCTATGAGAAGAAAAAGCTATCTTTCTTCATTCATAAACAAATTCTCTGTAAAAATATTGAAGTCTCTTCTAATGAAGAGGTTACCCATTTTAAATTAAAAGAAAATCTCTCTCACTCTACAACACACGTCTTAGAAGAGGTTACCCATTTTAAATTAAAAGAAAATCTCTCTCACTCTACAACACACGTCTTTCTCTCTACAACCTATGTCTCGCTCTCTAGATCATGCAAACCCAATAACTTCCATCCCATGAATGTAGGAGCCCCTTATCCTCACGTTTATCTACTTTCCTCCCATGGATCTTTATCATATTTATTATCCCATAAAATATTTCTTTAAATCTTTAACTTCCCTTGATCCTCTTTTCTAGGAAGAATCTATACTCCCACTAAATTAGGCTCTACTTGAGATAGGAAACTAACTATATCAAGAGATTAGGCTTTAGGTGACTGTCCCATGGGAATAGAAAACTAACTAAATCAAGAAGATTTATCATAATCATAAAGAAAGGGAATATTGTAAAATGACTATACAGCCCACAATAATAATAATAAAATCTTGTTTTAAACCCTTACACTACCAATATCTCAAATTTAACCCAACAATCATATAAAAAAAAAGATAATAATAAAAATAAATAATACAACGCGATTTGCATCATACTCCCTTGGTTGAAAAAAAAGCTCGTATCAAGTTTTTGTTGTGATATCGTTGACCTCCCTTAGCTAATGATGAAGTCCAACATCTCCACACAAATATTCTTTGTAAGGCATGAGATTGAACACTCTAATGAATGAAAAAATTCAGAGCATGAGATTGAACACTCTAATGAATGAAAAAATTCCCCATCTACCTAGCCATTTTCAGGACAAACATCCAAATATATTCAAATACGGGCCCACAGAATATGCTCTTCGATTAATTGTAACAGCCAATTGATTCCTTACAAAAAAACATCTTTATACCAATCGACTTTCTTCTTCTGAGGCTTCTTCTTTGTCTTGAACTCTTGTGATAACCATGCCTTGACTTTTAGGTTATCAATTTGCTTAGAAGGTTGCAACTCTTGTTGTAGATCTGATATGAGCCTCGTCATTTATTGTATCTCATTGCCACAAGGTCAACATTACTATCAAGATATGCATAGTTGACATGGTTTTGCTAAAGCCTGTGTAACCAACTTTCACATCAATCGTCTCAAAAATCTTGTTAAAGAGTGAATTCCCATGTGTAATTTCTAAAGGAGATTTTCCATGCAATAATAGCATAAAAATCACATGAATATCTTTGGTTTTAGCAATTATTAAGCCCGTGTTTTTAAGAGAATAATAACATGGAAATAACTGCATGAGTTTCTATACTGTCCCCTTGAAAGTTATCACCAACATCCCTTGCATTCTCCAACCATACAACTGGCATGTGTACAAATACGTTGTTGATCAACACCAAGGGCTTCAAGCACACATCCAATAAGCCCTTCCCATTCACATCTCAAACCAGAAGTAGATACTTAAAACTCATACGATTGTGCTTAAGCTGACAAGCTTCCTCAATGAAAAATTTTAATACATCAAGAGAAATTTTCAAAACATGCGTGGCACTTGGAGATGTTATCTTTACAATAGCAAGATCATTGTCTCTTGCAATAATTTTCTCGATCTCTACATAAGCACCTTTCATGTTATTTCCCATAGACATCAAGACTTTGATTGCAAAACCAGCCCCTTCACTAGTAGGGTTATATAAGATTTGATCAGTTCCAACAAAGCTGACAAAGAGATGACTCGTATATTCTTGTACACACATAATAACTTCATTCGCCATTTTAATAAGCTCTCAAACAATTTAATAACTTCTTTCATGCGCCAAATGCCATCAGATGGTTTCCGTACTTAACTATGAGGCTTTTTGCCTTGGTAAATAACATCAAATCTAATTCTAGTGCATTGACCAAACATCAACATACTCCCACCGTAAATTATTAGCCCCACATATCTTGAACATCCCAAATCAGCAACATTAATAGGCAGATGCCACACAAAATGCAACGGGTAGCCTAGTGCTAACGTTAGCGTATTCGTTTTCTTGCTTGCATTCGTTGGTTTGCTTTTTTACCCTATAGTTTTCTCGCATCGCATCTCACGCTTCTTTAACTTTAGGTTTGACAAGACTTCGCTACGTAGTGGAGCGAGTGCTTCCTTTGATGTGTAGTTGAGCGAGTGCTTCCTTTGATGTGTAGTTGTTGCTTGCTTTCGCTTCCATTGTTATGTTAGCGTTCGGTATGCTAGTTGTAGCTTGCTAGAGTTAAAATGAGAGGCTAGCTTCGCTTCCTCAGATTGTTGAAACCATAATTCAAAGATTTCACACCAATTATGAAATGGTTTCCACAAACAATCAAATCATCCAAATTTATCATAACGATTCCACACATCATGATTAAATTTTTTCAGAACAGACAACCAATCACAACTCACCATGTTTGTACGAACACTATCATCATCTCTATTAGACAACTCCAATGCACACACATAATTTTTACATTGGCACCAACATTAACCACATCATCAAGTAAAATGTGGATATTATCGACTTTTTCCTTTATACGTTGCCGAATAGAGAATTGAGCCACACCTTCCACTTTAAAAGATTCAGGTGGAGTCCAATCATTTAATGGCAACAAAGATTAATTCATGTCTGACCGTCGACAATTTATTTTGATAAAAAACCACCATCTTGGTTTTCTCATTCAATCCCAAATAACATTTCATTGCAGTCAGGGGTTGGTCTTTGTTCACAAGGAGGGAATCATTTGAAAATCCAATTTTGGCTTAACAGAAATAATGTTAAACATTAACATTTCATTCTGATTGATACAATACTGATTTTTTTCATTATCAAACTTAGAATCCTCCATACTTTTCATCCATAAAAATGCTAGGCATGTCCTCAATTATCCCTACTTTTTCAGTAGATTGATCTCTAAATACATCTATTCGTTTCTCATTAGATTTACGACCATTTGTGTCTTTCAAAGCATCAACCACTCTAGTGAAAACCTTAAGATTTTCATTTATCAAGAAACCATATACCTTTCTCTATTTACTTATGTGATGCTTAGGTTTTGTTGTAGGAATGAACAATCTCAGAGTTGGAAGCGTCAATCTCCTAGCTTGGGATGATCCAGCTCTAGGGGTCGATCTGGATATAGGAAAATTCTTTCTTTGCTCATCTCGATATTGATTTTGGTCTACTCCCCTATGCCAAAGCCATCGGCTTTGGGGTTGTTAGTCGCCCAACTTTTCTCTGCATTCATGCTCATTACGATGCTTTCATGCATCGAACCTATAAGTGCGAACAAGCATAACACTAGGCCGTTCTCACTCAGACTCGTACTCTGATTTACGCCGATCTCCACTAGAACTCCCACAATATGGATCGAACACCATAGATCTCATCTTGTTCGATGTGTGATGTTGGAATCTTTCTTTTTGCAACAACTTTTTAACCATATCCGTCGATTTGTCGATTTTCTTGTATATTTGGTTATGCTTGGTATTCTTATGGTTGTGACCTCCACGACAATCCATCGTAGTCACTGACCCTTTTCGAACCATGCTCTGATACCAAATGATGCAAAAGGAGTACGAAAAATTAAATTCGGCATTCTTTCGATATTAAATAAGCAAATAGTCAACAGTACTAGAGTGGAAAATATGACTGTAAATCAAACCATGAGAAGGAGAAGCTATATTTCTTCATTCATAAACAAACTCACAAACTCTCTCTAAAAATATTCAAGTCTCTTCTAATGTGAAGATTACCCCTTTTTATATATAAAATAAAAAAACTTAAAAGAAAATCTCTCTCTCTCTCTCTCTCCCTCTCTCTATAACCCACGTCTCTCTCT